CTTGACGCGAGCAGTTCCAATGCCATTCGTCATGGTAGAGGATCCACCTGCAACAGCGATTGTCATCAAATTTCCTAGACATTCCCTCAAACTAACAAATAATTAGGGTTAGGTGTTATAGGATGTTTTTAAAATTAAAGATACTTCATCCAGTATAAATATTTTTATAATATTGTTACGTCGTACCCAGACGCTGTTCGTGTACTTTGTCTACTCAGGATGCCACAAAGATACACATGTGAGTTCGAAGGGATTGTAGCTAAAATTAGCGTTTTATTGTATCTCACTTAACAGAAGGAATACAGCAGTGGGACTTGCCTTCAACCTCCCCGTCAGAAGAATCCTTGGCGCCGTGGATGTCCTCTTGTGAAGCGTTCCGCTCCACACAATACACGTGCAGCTTGGACTACACCGCCTTGTAGGTCGCTCCGATGTCAGTCTCTCCTGGCACCGCCTTGTAAGATCATCCACACGCCCGGAGGTAACTCTCCGCCGTCTTCGACTTGCCGTAGATCTCGATGTCACCAGACGACTTCTCCCGACACTGTGATGTCCTCTCGGCACACAAACCCCCTTCAGCTGACTGCTATCTCGGCTCCTTCCTTCACTACGGCACCAGCTGAACTGTTTGACTCCCGCCCCCTCCTCTGGAATCTGTCAATCAAGACTTCCTTGTGGAGAGGGAGGGAGGGAGGGAGGGGGGGACCTGCATACCTTCTTTTCTTGGCTTGACCACATCTTCCCTTCATCTTCTTTGCTGTACAGTTTCAATATATGTAAAAAGAATTTTACTGACAGAAGAATCTTTAATTATAAGAACTATGAATGCCAGCCAGGCACAGCCTCTATCTTCACGATTATATGATGTGTCATCAAAGAATGATCAATGAGCCATCAGCAATGATCAAACAATGATCCATGTGTTAACCTAAAAAGAGTTCTACCTATAAATGACAGTTATTCAAATTGAAGATACTTTGGCCTATAAATCTTTTTTATTGTCTCGACGTTTCGACAATTATATTCAGAATATTTCTAACACTTTGTCAAATGCTTTAATTTTTGTTCGCTCCTGACGAAGACAAAAGATTTTTATCGAAACGTCGAGATAATAAAAAGATTTACTGGCCGAAGTATCTTTAATTATAAGAACTATGAATGCCGGCCAGGCAGCCTCTATCTTTACGATATAAATGACATGTTGTATATATTTTTGTCTCAACAAAATGACTTTGTTTAAAGATTAGAAATCAAAATTTTACCTCTTTTACATTCATTTGTATATTATCTCTTATTTTTGATCGTGTAGCAAACAATAGTTACTTTCGAAGACTTTTCAAAATTATTTTGTGAAGCCTTGTCTGTCATGGTATTCTCATCTCGGTGTAAGCTACCAGAATGTCTTTCATATTCCGCATAAAATACCCTCTCCACAGTTTGCACCAGTAAAATTATGATTTTGGAAGATTGTAAATAACTGAGAAATCACTGTTCTACTTTTGGGAAAAACCACAAAAAAAAAAAGAACAATAGCCAAATATCCACTATCAAAATTTTCACCAATATTTGTTAATTCGTTATTAATGTTTGTTCATTATCCTCAAAAAGTAATGCATGTTGCTATGGATAACTAACCGAATTCACAAAATATAACTGTTTTAGAATTTGTAAAATTAATGAACTTATTTTCTTTGAGAGCATATAGTTATCTAATTTTTGCAAACAGAGCTTTGGGATAATCCGAAGGCTCATTGTACAGTTACCGTTGGTGCCTCTGAGAGAAGAATTACAAAAACAATAACAAGACTAAGAATGAAGCACTATAAAGGAATGACAATACACCCAGATGGCACAAGAACCTATAGGACATGCAACAACTGTCCTGGTGTGGAACTAACACCTATCCACATATTCTCATGTCCAGCAATGGTCACAGCCCTGCAGAAAATTGACATGGACCCAGAGCAGCAGCTTTACATACCCAAGATAGTGGACATTGCGACTGCTGTGAGAGAGATGTATGGAGACATCTGAGGCTCTTCATTAGACACAACAACAACAGAAAATTGACATGGACCCAGAGCAGCAGCTTTACACACTCAAGATAGAGGACATTGCGACTGCTGTAATAGAGATGCATGGGGACATCTGAGAATTTTCATTGGACACGACAACAACACAGAAAATTGACATGGACCCAGAGCAGCAGCTTTACACACCCAAGATAGTGGACATTGCGACTGCTGTGAGAGAGATGCATGGGGACATCTGAGGCTCTCCATTGGACACAACAACAACAGAAAATTGACATGGACCCAGAACAGCAGCTTTACACACTCAAGATAGAGGACATTGCGACTGCTGTGATAGAGATGTATGGAGACATCTGAGGCTCTTCATTGGACACAACAACAACACAGAAAATTGACATGAACCCAGAGCAATAGCTTTACACACGCAAGATAGAGGACATTGCTGCTGCTGTGATAGAGATGCATGGAGACATCTGAGGCCCTTCATTGGACATAACAACAACAGAAAATTGACATGGACCCAGAGCAGCAGCTTTACACACCCAAGATAGAGGACATTGCTGCTGCTGTGATAGAGATGCATGGAGACATCTGAGGCCCTTCATTGGACACAACAACAACAGAAAATTGACATGGACCCAGAACAGCAGCTTTACACACTCAAGATAGAGGACATTGCGACTGCTGTGATAGAGATGTATGGAGACATCTGAGGCTCTTCATTGGACACGACAACAACAATAGAAAATTGACATGGACCCAGAGCAGCAGCTTTACACACTCAAGATAGAGGACATTGCTGCTGCTGTGATAGAGATGCATGGATACATCTGAGGCTCTTCATTGGACACGACAACAACAATAGTTGGTCTCACATATGTTAGGACTGATTCTAACTAAAGACCTTGCCTTTTCTCGAAATGTTAATTTCCATTTCGTTGACTTCCCTCAGGCTTATTTTCACCTGAATAAATAGATATCCTAAAATTGTTAATGAACAAAAGTTTCATTTGGACTCTAACTGGAGTAATTCACTCGTTTTAATTTGCTAATAAGCATCATGTTAATCTTTTGACGTAAAAAGACGCTGCTATACTGCTCTTTTTAGGCCTTTTCAAAGTTTTCAAACAAAGAAATAAAAAATATAGCGTTTACCTTTGTCTTATAATTACAGATATAGAATGTGAACTTTGTTAATTAAAAACAACAAAGTAATCTAATGAAATGATGATGTGTGTGCTGGTTTATGTTATATTTCCGAAGAGATCATTTGTTGGTTGGAAGTCGATTCAGAAAAAACACAACCACATCAAACTATGATTTATTTAACTTCCGACCTTCCAGTGACTTACGGTCACTCTGACTTCCCCTGAGGAGAGTGACAGCAGTTCTCTGATACGTCAGGAGTTAAATAAATCATTGGTTGATGTGGTTATATTCTATTGTTCGAATAATAAATTAGGTGTGTGGAGCTGTTTCTCTAGGTCCATGTCAATTTTCTGCTGTTGTCGTGTCCAATGAAGAGCCTCAGGTGTTTCCATGCATCTCTATCACAGCAGTCGCAATGTCCACTATCTTGGATGTGTAAAGCTGCTGCTCTAGGTCCATGTCAATTTTCTGTTGTTGTTGTGTCCAATGAAGAGACTCAGATGTCTCCATACATCTCTATCACAGCAGTCGCAATGTCCATCATCTTGGGTGTGTAAAGCTGCTGCTCTGGGTCCATGTCAAATATTCTGTTGTTGTCGCGTGTCCAATGAAGAGCTTCAGGTGTTTCCATGCATCTCTATCACAGCAGTCGCAATGTCCACCATCTTGGGTGTGTAAAGCTGCTGCTCTGGGTCCATGTCAATTTTCTGTTGTTGTTGTGTCCAATGAAGAGACTCAGATGTCTCCATACATCTCTATCACAGCAGTCGCAATGTCCACCATCTTGAGTGTGTAAATCTGCTTCTCCGGGTCCATGTCAAATTTCTGCAGGGCTGCGACCATTGCTGGGCATGAGAATATGTGGGTAGGTGTTACACCAGAACAGTTGTTACATGTCCTGTAGATTATTGTGCCATCTGGATGTATTGTCATTCCTTTATAGTGTTTTGTTCTAAGTCTTGTTATTGTTTTTGTAATTTTTCTCTCAGAGACAATAACGGTAACTGCACTATAAGCCTTTGGATTTTCCCAAAACTCTGTTCGGAAAAATTAGATAACTATAAAAAACAGAATAAAAAATTAGAGTGTGGACGGCTATGTTCATAATATATATTGAGCTAAAATAGGTAATTAATAAAGAGAAGTATTCTACAGAACTGCATTCTAGCTGGAATTTCTCACACTTGTTTACTATCGGGCGTATAGATCAGACTGTATTATAGCTAAATAGATATTTAACTTTTTGAAAATAGAACAATCCATAGATAAATCTTTAATTATAAAGACATATATTGGATCAACATATCATTTATTTTACCAATATTTCAGTTGGTTGAACGCCAACCTTTATCAAGGTGTTATAACATTTTAAAGTGTGTCAACAACTTCAGCCAACTTCACCGTTCAGCCAACTGAAATATTGGTAAAATAAATGATATTTTGATCCAATATATGGCTTTTTAATTGAAGATATTTAACTGTAATATAGGCCGATCCACGGCCGATAACATCTCTCTTTAATTGTTTTTGAAATTTGGCGTTGAAGAGCAAAATTTTCTCGAAAGCTTGCAACAAGTCAAAATAAAGAAACTCTTTGCCCAAAAAGCAAGTTTTCCTTATTCGAATATATCTGGGTAACTATCGCTCGTTCTATTCTTATATATATATTACCACTAGCCGAATGACCCGGGCAACGCCCGGGTTTTACCCGATTAAATGCTTTTATTCAAATACTATTCGTTACAATTATAAATTGGCGCCGTGGATGTCATTCATGTATAATATATAAATGAGTTTTAAAAAATGTAAAAAAAAAAATGCATCTGCCGGGAATCGAACCCGGCCCGGGTGGCAGGCGAGCATTCTCGCCACTGAACAATCGATGCTTATAAGAAATGGCCATATTTGAGTATTTATTCCATTCACAAAAGAAAACGGTGACAGAATTGATTAAGAATTGATTGACGACTCTGATACTTGTATATTTTAATTATATATTTTAAAAAAGAGAAAGAACAAGTGGAAGTATCGCACTTTGGTTAACAAACATGAGGGTGTGATGGCACCGCTGGGAGTAGTGGATGGCATGACTTGTCTCGACGGGGCGGTCCAATTAAATAAATAATTAAGGTGCGTGTGTCAACGATCACAATATATTAACATAAAGCAATAAAGCTTCATCTATACATATACACCATGCGGTGTAACTTCAATTGTCGTTTTACAATCACAAGCCGCAGTGTATTATATTGTATTATAAGTTACTTATGTATTATTTACGAAAGGAAAAATACATCCAGGGTAGCCTAGTGGACATGGCATCTGCCCGGTAAGCGGAACATTGTGGGTTCGATTCCCATCCCTGGACACTTTTATTTTTCCGTTCATCATTACTCTTCATAATTCACCCTTTCATACCTCATCCAAAAAGGTTAGAAATAGTCAATATTTCACCTTGAAATAAATTTTGATTTTTCGTTGAAAAGAAACTCATGCGGTGTAACTTCAAGTGTTGTTTTACAATCACAAGCCGCAGTGTATTAAATTGTATAACTAACTTCGAGCTGGGATCTCTTCGACTTGTTTATTATATTGAGTGGAGATTTTGCTTGTCTAGATAATGTTTTAACCTATATGGATGATTCTTAGAATGTGCTCTACAAATTTTGATGAGGTCTCATCTAAGTTGCTAGCTGGTCTAATCAGTCGAATTATATTTCAACCATTTTGTATTTATAGAGCTTCTTGTCTATATTTTTGATGTTGACATTTTTGAGCTTGTGAGCTGGAATTCTTGGAGAAAATGCGAGATAAATATGTTAATTGGTGAGCACTTAAGAGATACCATTCTGTGCTAAATTATGATGTAATGCAATATCAAGGATGCCTGAGTGAAAGTCGTGAGTAGGTTCATAGGATAGCTGATTTAAAGGCCATCTTTTGCTGACATGTCACCTATTCTAGAAATAGAGCTCTGCCATATTTATTTGTCTAAGATGGTAACTACAAATCCTTGTTAAATCTCCCATCACCTTGATACAGCCACATAGCACACAAATGTATGAAGATATTGCATACAAGGTTACCATAGAAGATATCACTTTCTAGACCATCTAAATCTGTGCACTTTGTACATCTGGGACACACATATATACATATTATACATATTTATAATACAATATAATGCGGCTTATGATTGTAGAACGACGTTTGACAATTTTACCGCAAATGTTTCTTTTGAACGAAAAATCGTAATTTATTTTAAGGAGAAATAACGACTATTTCTATCCTTAGGAATGAAGTATAAAAGGATGAATTGTGAAGGGTAATGATAAACGGAAAAATAAATTCCCATCCCTGGACACTTTATTTTTCCGTTTATCATTACTCTTCACAATTCATCCTTTCATACTTCATTCCTAAGGATAGAAATAGTCGTTATTTCTCCTTAAAATAAATTACGATTTTTCGTTCAAAAGAAACATTTGCGGTAAAAAAAATTGTCAAACGTTCTACAATTATAGATATTATTATACACTGGATGCAAATAAAAATAAACACAAAATATAAGTACAAGGTTTTTAATAAATATTTTTATTGAAACACTTTTAAAATATCGCCTAATTAAAATCACTTCTGGTGCGTTATTTACAAGTGTGTGGGGGCCCAGGCTTGCTGCAGCTACGGTCGTGTGAGTCTGCGCAACACAAGCCGCTCAGTTCACCTGGATATCTCGGACATTGGTGTTATGTCAACAACATCTTAGTATTATAAAGTAAATAAAGCTTCCAGAGTTAAGTTTCTTGTTCAACTTTTTATTTTCAAGCTTTCGGACTTGTCAGTCCTTCAACAGGAGTATCACGATAATAAATTGATGATATATACTATTTTTATATACACAAATTAATTTTTACATATTTTAATTATTATTGATATTGAAAGGGAAGAAAATATATATTACCTTCTTTGTGTGTTATAAACAATTTTGAAAATATACGTGGATGGGTGGAGGATACGCGCTGGTCGAATGATATCTCGAGATCTCAAGTTAAACCCAATAAATTCGTGAACTATTGCGATATATATAGAAGACTGTCTACATCTATGGGGTAGTGTTTGTCCATATTGTTTCATATGTTTCTGATATTTCTATGCATCTGTTTATACTTTTTTGCCGTTTGGTTATCATAGATTCTATTAAGAGTCTTTGGTATTTACTATGGATATTGTCATAATACACTATGGGTTGATATAAGTTAAATGTATGACCTGTTCTATGTGTTGAACTATTAAAGATCTTGGGTCACTATTGTAAATACCTATCCTGTTCAGCTATTCCATTATGGACTTTTCTCCCAGTCTACCCTACATACAAGGTATGTCCCATAAGTTCCCGGACTGGGTCCATAAAAAAATAAATAAATGAAAAATGTAAATGAATTTGACTGTTTATTATTGAAAAAATATCTGGCTACACGGTGGTACCAATATCGAGGCGGTACTTGCGCGCGCGCCAAGGTTATTCTAATTTATTTAAAGGTCACACCTAGCGCTGCGGCGATTTTACGATGGAACAAAAATTGAAGCAGAGGATTTGCATAGAATTTTGTGTGAAACTTCAAATATCAGCAACCGAAACTTTTGAAATGCTTAATAAAGCATTCCCCAATGACGCCCCAAAGAGAACAACTGTTTTTGAATGGCATTCTAGATTTAAAGCTGGCAGAATTTCCATTGAAGATGATCCTCGTCAAGGACGCCCAAAATTTCAAAGGACTGATGAAAATGTGCAAAAATCACCGATTTGATAAAAGAAAATCCTCGAACCACTTTGCTGGAGCTAGAGCAAGACACAGGCATCTCTAAAACAACGATTGGAAGGATCGTAACCGAAGATTTGAAGCTCAAAAAGACTCCTGCAAAATTCATCCCAAGATTCCTCACCAATGAGCAAAAACTGTGTCGGCTTGCAACCTGTGAGGACATGATGGAAATGACAAGAACGGATCCAGAATGGAAAGACAAAATAATCACAGGCGACGAGACATGGGTCTATGGCTATGACCCTGAAACCAAACCTCAATCTGCCGAGTGGAGAGGTTAGGGTGAGCCTAGACCCAAAAAATCCAGAAACAAGGTGTTGCTGGTCGCTTTTTCGGATAACAAGGGCATTGTTCATCACGAGTATCTTCCTGCAGGCCAAACAGTTATTAAGGAAATGTATTTGGGCATTATTCGCCGTCTAAGGGAAGCGATTCGAAAAAAAAAAAGCCAGAAAAATGGACTAATGGTGGCTGGATCCTACACCATGACAATGCTCGCCCTCACACAGCGCACTTGATGACTAGCTTTTTGGCGAAAAACGGGACACAAATCCTACTTCAACCACCCTATTTCCCAGACATCGCACCAAATGACTTTTTCCTGTTCCCCAAACTTAAAGCAGTTCTAAAAGGAAGACATTTTGACACCAGGGATGACATAATAGAAAAATCGCCGTTAGCATTGAAGAGCATTCCAAAAGAGGCTTATAAAAACTGTTTCGACAATTGGGAGAAACGATGGCGCTGGTGCGTTAAAGCAAGGGGGGATTACTTTGAAAAGTTTTAATAAAAAAAAAAAATTAAAAAAATCTTACCTTTTTTTTTATGGACCCAGTCCGGGAACTTATGGGACATACCTTGTATTTAGAACTACAGTTATTGCAAGATATGGAGTCTATGTGTTTTCAGATATATACGGAATTAAATTGGTATGATATGTATTGGCAAATATAAGTTGTGGTGTCATTCTATGAAACCTCTAAACTCTATTTGCATATACCCCAGAGAAAGTTAATTAATCTTTGTTTTGATTTAGAGGAAATCTTAATGGTCGCCCGGGATGGAAAGAGACTGGTACCATGCCGTGTCTTGTCAAAAATAAACCTGGCGATAGTTTCGACCTTTCAAAATTATCTCCAATACATATATACAGTAGAACAAACTCCCTGTAAAGGACAACACCTAGTTGCAGATCCAAAGTGTCCTTTAGGGAGAGGTGTCCTCCTACCAGAGAGTTACAAAATAGTAAAAATAATAATTTTACAAATGAAAACTGTCCTTTGTAGATATATATAAAGAGACAAGGGTCGCCTCTTCCGTCAAAATAGACGTCTAAAACCAGACGCCATCTATTGACCGTCGCCGCAACTAGCGGTCTCAGGTCGGTGACAAAGCCACAACATCAGCTTTGGCAAACTGAAAAGCGTCCACCTAGAGACCATGGTTTCGGGCTAATGGCCCTCGTCAGTCTAGGTCGGACTTTATTCCATGAGATCCACACGGGATCTAATGGAATCTTGACAACCTGCCAAAGAGGTGTTTAGCTGGCAAAGTGGTTGGGCCATATCTATGGCTAAAATACAGTTGCGGCGACGGTCAATAGATGGCGTCTGGTTTTAGACGTCTATTTTGACGGGAGAGGCGACCCTTGTCTCTTTAGATCAATTTCCTCCCGGAAAAATTTCCATATATATATATATATATATATAAACAAAATTTTCAACAATATATAAAAAATACTTCTCTTTCTGTTTACCTTTTACTAGTTTGATCAAATGTTTTATTTCCTGAACGAAGAAATACGCCAGGATTAGAAGCATATCGATGGTAAGATATGCATACTAGAATGCTATACCTTTAAGGTACTCTGATATTATTTTTGCGTTTCCTTTTTATTTGGCCTTCCTGTAAGGCGAATACTTCAATGAAGCTGCTTCCTTGCAAACCTTTATGTCGCTTCGCATTGGGCGATGTAGCAATTCTGTCAGTCGCTTGCAACAACTTCTTTTCTGGTTCAAATTCACATTAATAGGTACCGCTCAGCAAGAGCAACCTAGTTCATG